TAAGGCACTTGTTACTACTAGCGTTGCACTTGTTCCTAATAGCTTCTTGTTACTACTAGTAAGGCACTTGCTCCTAGTAGCGATGCACTTGTTCCTAGTAGCTTATTGTTTCTATTAGCCTTCTCCATGCACTTGTGGACATTGCCAGCTCAACATGCAGCCTACGAGGTCTTTTCTCTTTCCTCGCTGTCCTCACATTTCGTTGAGATGTGTTGGCTACACGGCTACGCGCATGGTTTGGACTCTTTACCTGTATGGATGTGTTAGGGTTTAGGTGTTTTGTTCAGGTTTCGTGTCCAGGTTTCCTTTACCTTTACAGTTACATGTGTTGATGCGATGTTCCTTTTTCAGATGAGTTGGTGAAATGCATGCCTTTCTTTTGCAGGTACACTTTGAACGTGTTGCTTCTTTGTAACGTTCAAAACGGCCTTAGAGTCGCCACCCGTTTGAACTCTCCACCGAGCAGGAATCGTGCGAGTGATTTGAAGGAATCGGTGACTTCATCAGATCTGCGGCAAAAACATTGCAAACACCGTTGGCATGGTTGTCACAACTGACTGTACACCTCACACAGTTACACCTCACACTGTCCAAAGTGATCCGCAGCGGTTTCACACACAGGCCTTGAGTCAACCAATTCCGAGCTGGCAGAGGCGCCTGTTCCTGATGTGTAGTTCTCCGACTTGTCCTACTTTCAGCACATGTTGCGTGAAAATTGTAGGTTGGAGGCCATTGCTGGAATTCATTCTTACAAGAAGCTACTAGTGACAAGTGCCACGCTAGTAGTAACAGGTGCCTTACTAGTAACAAGAAGCTACTAGAATTCATTCATTCGCTATTAGCCTCCGCGAGGTGGAGGAACAGGTAGCAGATCTTCGAGACAAAACCGCCGAGATGGACCACTCAGTCAGTTCTGTCCAAGGCCGTCGTGCCGCTGGGATAGACGTGCCACGGCCGTGCGCTACGAGGTGAAAGTGCCACGGCAGAAATGCATCTGTCGAAGCAGGCGGAACGACGGGCCGACGGGGGTAGGCCGGTGGAAGAGGGAGGTAGTAGCTAGAGAGGTAGCTAGTAGAAGCAAGGTCGGTAGCCAGTAGCTTACTAATACGCTACTACCGACAGGACGCGGGATAGCTCATGCTGCACTAATGATTTGGTCCTAGATTTTTAGGGAAACTTCACACTCGTCCTTCTCTTAAATCCAAACTGTTGTGGTGCGTGGAAGGTTGAAGACGTAACACAAGCCAGCAAAGACCTAAAGATCAAAGCGGAAGGCCAATTCGATTGCGTTAGAGAGAAAACAACATGTTTTTCACGGGACCTGAAAAAAAAGGAACATGAAAAGAAACACCTTATTTTTTATTTTCCTACTTGGCATCGTTTTTTAAGACTTCTTGGGTCTGCCGGTTTTTCCGACCATTTCGAGGCGAGCAGCGGAAGGATGTCGGATTTGCCAAGCGTATTGGTTCGGTCCGATGCCAAGCGCTGCGAACGCAAAGCGGAATTCCAAAAACCAATTCAAACCAAATTGCTATTGCTCCTAGTAGCGTTCTTGTTCCTAGTAGCGATGCCCTTTGCTCCTAGTAGCTTACCAATTCTCCGAAAAGTTGGGATGTGTTTCTAATTTTAAATCGTTTTAATGCTAGCGATGGCCTCCACCCTCCTTTTCTCTTGCATTGTTTGAATTCAGGTGGAAAAACAGATGAAGGATTTGAACGAGACAGTTGCTGATTTAAATCAGACCGTGACTACCATGACCGGCCCATCAACAGGCGGGTACTTTGAACAGTTTTAAGCTTCTTGCAAACTACCTTGTGCCTTAAGGAATAGGATAAAAGAAAAAGAACGGCAGGAAGGAGTTAAACATAAGAACATAATAAAACACATAGAAAAGAAACCGTTCTCTTTCGTTCGTCCGTCCTTTATTCTTGGCGAGGGTACCTTCGGATCAGGTCGAACTGGACTCGAAAACTCGCGCAAGCGCTGCCTCTCCGGAGGGAGACATTCGTCTAGCTGGATCGTTTGCTTCAGATGTTTCCCTTCCCAGCGCATCTGGGGAATCTGGGGCGGGCCCAAAGGCTTGTATCTTCCTCTCATACTTTGGCGGTGCAAGGCCCACTTGTGACCTTCCAGAGATGTCTTTGTGTCTCTAAAGATTGCAAATGACGATGCCGCGGGTTCTCCGGGACATTTGGCCATGTCTTTGGAATCTCAGTGTGGAGCACACTTTGATGCAGCTCTCGACCGAAGACATCTCACCCCATTCAGGCGCAGCTCTCATTTGTGGAGGGTCAGCATGTTTTTCCCTCTGGGTGATGCGAACCACATCCACTCGAGACATCGCTAGCAGGGAAACCTAAGACAACCTTATAGCAAAAGGAACCTAATAGCACGCTCTTCCGTCTGGGTGAGGTTGTGAAAAACACCCAATCGAGACTTTCCCTGACATGAGGATTTAGCGCTTTGTCCTCCAAAAGCCTTCGGCATGAAATTGATCCTGGTCATTGCGACAGCATCGCCAAGGCATATGTGGCTGCCCATTCGTGCTGTAAGAGTGCCCTAAGATCTCCTCTTCCACAACGATGCCGCTGCGTTAGGGGAACGCGGCACAATTGCAACCGGCTGCGCTATAGCTACTAGGAGCAAAGGGCATCGCTATTAGGAGCATTCCCTCCTCAGATTGTGATGTCAGCCACCATGTCCCTCCGCTCGCTTGCTGTTGCTGTCGCTGTGTCTCTCTCTCTGGAAATGGCGTCCACAGGTCCAAGAAACGCAGAGGAGTCGAAGCAGGCTTGCCTGGTGCAAAACGTCTTATCTCTCAGTTTTGAATGCAATATCTTGAGCAGGACGGACGGACTGTGGAGTCGGGATGTTTAGTATGAGCTTTGCAGGTTGGGGCCCTTCCCATGAAAGCGGATGTATCTTGGAATGCATAGTAGCGTTGGCCTTCAACCTAATACTAGCTTACTAGCGGCCTCTAGCCTAACAAGCGATGGCCCGATGGCAAAACGTGTCAACATGGCGCGGTGTGATTTCTAAGGATCGGCCAAGCGTGTCGAAAAAGAGTTTGCGCTGATTCCTCGTAGCAAACATTGTTACTACTAGTAAGGCACCTGTTACTACCAGTAAGGCACTTGTTTCTAGTAGCGTCCTTGTTCCTAGTAGTACGGCCAGGAGCCCCTAGTAGCGAACATTGTTAGTGAGTTTGCGATGTGCCGACACGAAGATTTTCGGAATCAATGAGCGCCTCCCGCAACTCTTTGACTTGTGTGGCCCGTCAGATTCCTTTCGCAGAGCTGAAGTCCTTGCAGGCTGAAATTTTTGTTTGTGTTGTGACAGAGAACCATTCTTGACCATGATGGCTTCAGAAAGCTTTGCTCCATTGTTTGCACCTGTTGCAGAGACGATTGAATTGTTTGAACCATTGTTCCCGATTACATTGGCTAAACCGATTACACCGGCCACACCGACAACACTGGTTGCGAAGCTTAACTAGCGTAACCAGCGTAGCGGACACGCTTTGCCATGTCGCTCGAACCCTTCTTATTTAACGGAAACCTAGGGATAAGAAGCTACTAGGAACAAGTGCATCGCTTCTAGTAACAAGTGCCTTACTAGTAGTAACAAGAAGCTACTAGGGGCTCCTGGCCTTACTACTAGGAGCAAGGACGCTACTAGGGGCCCCCGGCACGCTACTAGGAACTCATCTAAGACCCTGGGACCCAATGCCTACATTGCCGTTCAAAAGGCCAACAAATCGATTGGGCTCCGGGTGTTTGATGCGTCGCGCACTGGCGATGCTGCAGGTTGGGTGTTGAGGTTTTTACAACTTTGGCACCAAAAGGACCGTATTCTCGGTGTGCGTTGCAAGACTAGCATCCCTAAAGAGTGCAAATACCGATCCTATTCCTCTCCCAAAACCCCTTTCACCACCGGCTACAAGGAAGTGGTTTTGATGGTGTTTTTGTAAAGCGCCGTCAAAAACAGCCGTACTTACGCAGTTCTGACCATAGCGCAACCATTTGCAAGCTATGCCTTTACATCTGCCATGTGCGAAACACCGTAATTTACTACGAAGGTTTAGCCACCTGGCCGCCTTTAGGGCGGTGGGAGGGGCTGCCTTGAAGAAGAGCTTTCCTGCGTCCTAGCTATGAGCTTCCTAGCTACGACTTACCTCTTCCTACTCGCTACTAAAGTCTACTTGCAATGGCCTCCAACCTAGGAGCGATGGCCTCCACCGAAGCTTACTAGCTCACTTAAGCGAAAACAGGTTGCGATTCATGCTCCAACGCACTCTGGGCTGGTAGACGTGCCCGCCATCCGGCGCTCGGTGCAGGGCTCGCAAGCCTTCTTTTCACTTGGGGTGCTTTGATTGTGTTCATGTTGTGGCAGAACACTTTGAATGCTAACATTTAAATACTTCTAGTGGTGCGGCTTTTAGTTGCCACGAGGTTCCGTTGGTCGTGCTGTTCAGTTGCTTTGAACGTACTTGTAGTGGCGCTTGAAACCGGGAATGGTCACATGTTCCGTCCTCTCACGACGCCCAACCGGCACAAATTGACAATCTTTTGACTTCGGTGCCCCTCTTGAGACCTTATTTTCGCATGCAAAGTGAGATGCATTACACCCGTTTAGAGTTCGACCCTAAAGAAAACCATTTTAAGTGTACAAAACCGTCTCTTTTGTACAGAACTGTCTGACTAGGGTCTGAACTGAGGAAACTAGTCAGTCTCTGAGGCCTCGTGAGGTCCACAAAATGTGTTTTAGATCCTCATTAGATCAATGTGTTTTAAGTAGTTAGACAATGTTAGACATATTTGGCCATGTTCGGCCGTCATTAGAGCAGATGTACAAACAACACAATCTCAAACCCAATGTGCAATGTTATTTGTGAAGCTTTGCTACTGTTAGCTTTGCCAGGACGCCTGTGCAATACGTTAGTTTTCAACGAAAAAACACATGGTGGCGCTGCTCACGAGAGAGGGCTGTGCACCACCGCCATGGCGGTGCTTTCGCCGAAATTCTGTCAAAGGGGGCCAGAGCCATCGGTGTCTTGGCGCAGCTCTTCAGACCTTTGAAGTTTTCCAAAAGGAGCTCCTAGTAACAAGTGCATCGCTAGTAGTAACAAGTGCCTTACTAGTAGTAACAATGTTTGCGAACGTAGAAACAATAAGCTAATAGTAGCTTCTTGTTCCTAGTAAGGCCAGCCCCTAGTAGCGTCCTTGCTCCTGGTAGCGATGCCCTTGCTCCTGTTGCGAGTGTTGAATCGTGTGTGCAAAACTCACAAGCCACTTGCAGGCAACTACTCACTCTTGCTCCATCGCTGATTCGACACATCTGAAGGTGACTTTGTTTGGAGGCCCACGCTCGTTTTACTTTGGTTTTCAGAGCGGCGCGCGAGAGGATCGAGCAAATCACCAAAGTGGTGGAAACGTCGCTATGTTTGCGCCAGGCACTAGGTTTTTTGGGGGTTGATTGAACCGACGCTGTTGGTGAATGTTTGGGACCGTGTCGCGTTTGGCTGGTGTGTGGGCTGTCGGGCGTGTGGAAGTACATAATTCCATTCCCTGTGCTTCTAGGGTGGAGGCCATCGCTAATAAACGCACAGGACCCCTTTGTTTCTGCTGGCGGGTGCCACAGCTTCAGAGTGGATGTTAACCTGCTAACAATGGGTGGTGCAGGCGGTGTGGGTGTTCCTTTTGCTTAAACGATTTTGATGGGAGAATGGCCTTTGATCATTTCGCTCACCACGAGGTTCACTAGATCATCCGAGATTTACATGAAGTCCTAAGAAAGAACTTGGTCAAGTAGCGTCTTTTGTGACTAGTAGCAATGCCCTTTGCTCCTAGTAGCGTTCTTGCTCCTAGTAAGGCCAGGAGCCCCGTTCGTAGCGTCAAGTAGCGTGGATGTGTCAGGCCTAGAGTCTTGGGCTGGCCAGCCAGCTGCTCTTTTGCATGTAACGCGGAACGCTGTGTTCGCAGATGATGAATGCTCAAGGACTTGTGGTCGCTGTCTCCTAGTCTTACGTGTTGCAATTACGCATGGTTGGTGAAGTGGTATCCATTTACACAGGATCAGTGGGTAGATATTTTGTGTTTGGGAATCAAAACAACAGCCAGCAAGTTAAGACCACACATTCCAAGCCATGCAAAAACCGGGGCCATTGTAGCACCCGCCACCTTGTTTCTTGATCGGGTCCAGACATCAAGCCTGCATTTTGGCAGTGAGTTTTCTGGCTAGATGTACTAGCGCCGCACTAGTAGTATGCCGGTACATCTTAGAATTTGGGAGGCAGTGTGACAGTTTAGACACATGTCATAGCACGTAGCAACTCAAGCAGCAGTAAGACAGGCGCGCTATTGACTTGTGCGAGGCTTGTCTCAATGTTTGACCAAAGGTTCCACCACAGCACCACTTTTTTACAAAAGACGCAAGAAGCGGTGCGGGGAGAATTTTGAATTGGCGACGCTTCCAGGAACATACATTTTGGAAGACTTTGCGTGAGTGCATTCCATCGCACTCTTTTCAACGACACACGTTCACTGATTCTATCCGGTCCCTTCGGGTCTATGAGCTTTACAAAAGTGTATAATTTACCGTTTTCATCCGCAGAAAACATTCTTTTGAACCCAAACCTTTCCGCAGTCCAACTACTAACATCTAACTACTTACTGTTTTCCTACTAGTCCATTCCATGCCACGGCCTACACCCAAGGAAGCGTGGACTGCAGTGGGCAGACTTGCCATTGTTTCCTTCGTCCCTTTGCTGTTTGGCTCTTCAGAGGCGAACAGATGGAGTTTCTTTTGAGTTTGTTTTCATGGCAAGTTTGAAGACAGCAGGTTGGAGGCCATTGCTAGTAGGTTTGATCTATTTTTCCGAGTCGCCGAGCAAAGCCGAGAGGATAAACGAAAGAGCCGAAGTTCCCGGACCTGCCGGAAAAGCGCCAAAGTGGAGCGCACCGCGAATGTTCAGCGAATCAGGCAGCGCGGCATTGGATTCTGTTCGAATAAATAACCTTAGGGCCTTTATTGTCATTGTTCCTAATAGCTTCTTGTTACTACTATAGGAAGGCACTTGTTACTACTAGCGATGCACTTGTTCCTAATAGCTTCTTGTTAACATTTTCTTTTGGCGGTTGTATTCTTGCGGGTCACCGACATGCAACGTGTAGCAAGTAGGCTGGATGAGGAAGAGACTATCGGTTTCCGAGAGGAGAACGGCTGCACCATTCTGGCTTGGGGACCTTGGATTCAGAACGTTTTGGTGCGCGATGAGGATTTCTTCCAAGTCTTTGAAGAGAAGGAGTGAGAATTTCATACACGGAAGAAAGCTACTAGAAACAAGTGCCTTACTAGTAGTAACAAGAAAGCTAGTAGAAACAAGTG